GAATACTTTCGCAAGGCACTGTATAGGTCTATGAATTGGCTTCATCACTCTGTCCTCCTCCCCACTGATAGCTGATGTGTGGTGAGCGTACTGGCGCACTATGGCTGCCGTCGCATCATCCAGGTGGGGCTGCATATTGGTGGTGGTGGAGGGGAGTCCCCATTACCTGTAAAGCACTTTGAGTGGAGTGTCCAGAAAAGAGCTTTATAAGTGTGAGCAATTATTATTATTATTATTATTATTATTATTAGGTCGCCCTCTAGTGTCTGTAGGTTGTGTTGTCTGAACTCCTCAGCAAAATGACTGATAATTCCGAACCGTTTTTAACAGAGTAGAACAGGGGTGGCTAGCGCACATCCTGAAGAGAGTCACCCTTAACGTGTCAATTTCTAAAACAAGCCTGTTTTGACTACTGATTTATCCAGCTGGTCAGTGTCCACATCTGAGCTACACGTGCTCATCAGGCTGGAGCTTTTCCTAGTTTCTGTGGCATTTCATGGATAAGAGAGCACGTGAGCCCCCCCATCGATCTTAGGGACAACCCTCCCACCACAGCAATGCTTCTCCCCCCCAGCCGGGTGGATTGGGACAAGCTGGGGGTTAAGTACCTTACTCAAGGTACAACAGCAGTAGCACCAGTCTACTGGTGACCCACCAGTCACCCACTCGGCAACCCAACCCCACCCGCCACGTTGTCTAGGTATCATTTGAAATCAAAATACTGTACAAGCCAGTTCCGTTATAAGCTGCCCCCTCCGTATGTTGTTTTGCATTGTCTATCATTGATAAATTGAGAAAGTCGACATAAAAAAACCCTGCACTTCTATCGTTTTTCAGGGCACCAAAGCCAGCAACATCAGTGGCTTATGGAATATTTTGCTTTGGAAATATTGCAAAGAACAAAATCTGACGTTAAAAGTAGACAGTGCTATTGCACATGACTTAGATAATGAGTTGCTGTTTCCCAGTATTGAAGCTGAGTTCTTACCACCACACAGTACACTGCTGACCCAATCAGTGGATCCAGGTGTAAGCAGTAGTTTACTGATTACATGCGTGAACAGTGTGTTCAAAATACAAATCTGCCCTCAAGCAGTAACTGACCTTGTTAGTTTTGAAGAGACCACAAATCGAAAGAAGCTGGTGACATATATATTTTTCTTTTTATTATTTTATATGAGTTCCAAGTAAATCTACACACTTTTGTCTGAACTGTATGTTGTGAATGTATCTTAAACTCATTACATTATTCCTTATGGATATTAATTTATTAAGTCATTTCTCTATACTGTACATTTCATCATTTAGGAATCTAACCTGGTCTTATGACGGAACCTTCTGACAGTGTTTGAACAGCTAAACCAAAGTAAAATCTAACTTATGGCTCCTGATCCGACTATATTCAATTCATTCATTTGGGAAAGCCTCCCACTTTAAAAGTTTACGCTCTTACAGTCCTGAACCCCCCATATTTCCATTATTCTTATGGAGAAAAGTTCCACTTCATGTGTTGTTTCAATATATGGCATGATTTTCAGGTCCCTAACTCCGAGGATAACAGGGACAGCCTGCACCTACACCCTGTAGCTCTCAAGGATCCCAGCTGGCTGCGTACGGAAACACACGTGTGCCAAAGTCTTCGCAAACTGAGTTTAAGGGTGGCTCATAAACCCTGCTGCCCGCCCCCAGATTAGAAGAAGGATGCTGCATTTATCAGATGAAACCGCCTTGCTTTTTTTCTTGCTTCACCTCATGTTTGGTGCTCGGTCAGTGATGCGGCCTCCTGGGCTGCACGGCGTGTGCCGATCCACATGGAAACTGAAAGAATGCACTCTGCTTTTGAGCACCATCAACTTTATTAAAAAATAGCAAAGATAACAACAACAAAAAAACCACCAGAATGAAGATGCAATGTCCAACATGTTTACTGACTTTGCACTCTTAACAGCGCTGCTCTCTGTAGCTGAAAACCATTGTTATGGAAAGAACATGAGTAGCTTGCAAAAGGCAAAGGGGATGTCGGAGAACTGTAGGACAGTGGTTTTATATGGCGAGAGCAAAACACAGTGCACTTCCAGGACTGACACGATGAGGTTAAACCTCCCACCTCCCACCAATGCTGGCACCCCTTTATTTAGCTGCATTGTTAGGAGAAATGGGGGTGAAGTACCTGTGCACAAGAAGACAGTGCGATCCTGGGACAGGAGGACCCCAACCCTCAGTGATCAGGTAAGGGGTACACAGTTTCAACCACCTCTCCAGACTGACGCCTAGGCAACACAGCTGGGGCATGTGAAAACTGTCTTTGCAATGGGGTTACTTTTACAGAGAAAGAGAGAACAGCATGATGACATTTCCTTGCAAAATTTAAGACTCAAGTTAGGAAACATTTACACAAAGGTTATCCAGCCATGTTATTGAGGCTGATCACCTGAAATCCTTCAAGACACGGCTGGATGACAACAAATAAGATAGTATTGAGTGAATGAGCTTGGTGACCTGAATGACCTCCTCTCTTTTCTTGTGCTCTTAAAATGAGCACCCTGCTCTATTCTTTGAATGTGGGGTGCAACTCTTGTTTTTTGTCCAAAGTGCAAAGACGTGACCTTTGGAACTTCACCATGAATGGCTGTTTCTGGGCTTTTGATATCCTATTGACTAGCTATAGCAGAAGAAAGAGCTAAAAATGTGCTGAAACATTTCCTTGGGGCTCAGGGCTGTGGGCTTTGGGCCACGCTGGGACAGCCAGTGGAGGGCAGGGGACAGGACACACAAGGTCTTGTGAAACTGAAGCGATCCTCCTGCTCACCATTCGCAACCACGCTGGGTACCACTGTGCTGCTGGAATACGCCTGGCCTTCCCATCGGAAACCTTGCCGTGTTCCCCGTTCACAGCGAGCGGGGTGAGCTGGGGGGCCCGGCTGTGGCGTTCCAACAGGGGGCGTGGCTGGTGGGCTGACACGGTGGAGGGGGGGTTGTCAGGCGTGCCTCTTCATGTGCAGCGCCAGGTGGTCGGAGCGAGAGAAGGCCCTCTCGCACAGCAGGCACTGGAATGGCCGCTGGCCAGTGTGCTTGCGGTAGTGGCGTGTCAGCTCATCGGAGCGGGCAAACTTCCAGCCACAGCCCTCCCAGGTACAGTGATAGGGCTTCTCACCTGAGAGAGACAGACAGACAAGGGCCTGAGCGACTTTCAGAAACTGCTGCAGCAGTGCAAGTCTGCACTGGTGTTGTCAAAGGCCACCCCAGGTGTCCTGGGAGCTTGGCCTAGTCTTAGTTTGTCTCTCTGAAACCAGACCATTCTTTCATGGTGTGTCAGAAACTCTAGAAACCATACCCAGAAGTAGTTTGTGTATGTTTTCAGTCACTGTCTCAGTCCAGATCACATGCAGTGCATTTTTTCCTAACAGTCAGGACTTGTAGGGTAACCTGTTTTTTTATATAATTAGGCACAAATAAAGGCACAATTTGTGGTCTTCTGCAGGACTCTCTGGGCGGTCCTACACTGTGCATGTCCCATGTCAGCTGTACAGTACAGTCCACTGAGATGCAGCTTTGCCAAAGATCTCCCAGACGCAGGTATTTCCAAGAAACGTAAATCATTACTGACACAGCATACTATCATTCTTCTGTTGTACTGTAAACTGTTGGTTTGAAATTCTTTCTTGGACAATTATGTCCAATCAGTGCGCTCTTGAGTTAAACTGTGTAGATCACTGACTGGAGATGCATTTCCACACCCAATACCGAGAACTGGTATATTTGTTGTGTCAGTGTTCAAGAATGTTTCTGTGTTTACAGTTAACTTATCTCAGCTCAAAATACAACCAGCTGGGCAACTAAAGGAAAAGCACTAGGGATCAAGGTCTAGCAAATTCTACACATTAGTTACTTGAGTCATGTTAACATACTTGCAGTAACATGTTATCATGTTGTTAAGGGTACTATATGTTGCTAGCATTTTAACTTATGAATGCTGTATGAGTGGTTAAGAACAAGCTATAAAGCCATGAATCAGTCCATCAGAAAATCAATTAATGAGTTCCCCAATCAATAAATGAATTGGCCAATAAACTGGTAAAATCAGTCGAGCGAGCCTTATAGAATATTGTAACAAGCAAGTAAAAAATATTGTCATATAATTGTTTTGTAGCAAATAATGGTAAAAGAGGATTATGCTATTATAGCTAATATTATTCCATACACTGAGTCCATATACAGTATAACAGACTAAAGTGTGGATAAAATGTAAAAGACTGAGCTGTGCAGAGGCTGCAATACTAGACTTCCACTAACTTGGACTTTAATCTAAACAATAATCAATCAGCACCTCAGATATTGATATAACATCTTGCAGTTTTAATTGTACCACTGTTCTATCAGTCATACCAGAATCTAGATCATTAAATGCATCAGAACAATTGTTGATACCTAAATAGGGTAGAATCAGCAAACGTAGAAGCTGAAAAGGAAATTCGGGATGGGTCAAACACATGGCAGATATTCAATGTGGGCATGTACAGTATAGGTACAGTAACAGAAACATAATCTGTAGATATAAAATAAGTTTGAATAAGCTACTATACTTTTAAAAAAGACTTTACATGGCATATTTATATTTTAATTTATAGACTGTGGAGGAATAAGCAAACAAGGCTAGGATATTTAGTTTGGTGTAAAATTTTATTTAAGGCTTAACTAGATTTAAAATGTGTGATAGTAAGACCTCTTTTAAATTAATGTACAGATTTGGTCACCACATTACAAAAAATACATTGTTACTCTGGAATCATTGTAGAGAAGAGAGACCACAAGCTTCCTAAGCTTAAGGACATGCTGAAGGAACTGAACATTTTTAGTCTTAGAGAAAACTATAAGGGGACCTGATTCAAGCACTCTGAATTCTCGAAGGCTTTGACAGAACCAAACCACATGACTTCTACAGAATCAGCAGTAACACATGAACCAGAGGGAGCAAGTGGAAAATACCTGGGACTGCATTTCAAACTGAGAAGAGGGGGCACATACAGTATTTACTGTAGTGTAAATGGTTGTAGTGTAAAAGTGTTGTGGGAGTGTGGAACAAGCTAACTAGTCTATTGGCTTGTTGAAACTGAAATCTTTCAAGATTTGGCAGCATAAGATCCTTTAGCTATCAAAGGGTTTAACTATTAAATAAGATCAAATAGCTATTAAGAGCAACCAAACATGCTAGTCTCGTGTTTTTACAGTGCTGCATAATTGTAATGCTCATACATTACCTCGAACAAAGACATGAGATGAATGCATGTACTGTATTTTTCCCCAATGTGTGATAGTTATTCTTTATACAGTTGAACTGCAGGTTCGTAAGCAAAGAGGTTAGCTGTCAGTGTGCAGTATTGCATCAGCTGTCCACTCACACAAGGAAGAATGAGATTCTGGAAGGGGCCTGTTTAGTATCCTGTATTTAGTATTGCCCCCCAAATTGAAGAATTATGACCTCTCTTTTTTCCACCAAATGAGTTTTTTTAACTTAACGTGTCTGAAAATATATATATAATACTAGATTATAAAGTGACTTTCACTTGACACTCGTCCTTGTGTGAGTAGCCTTGGCTCTGTTTGTGGTCTGTGGTCTGTTCTCTGCGGTGGGGACTGTGGGGGACGGGGAAGCCTGGCTGGTTTTGCATGGCACGGCGTGTTACCTGTGTGCGTGCGCAGGTGGGCTTTGAGGTGGGAGCTCTTGGTGTACGTCTTCGTGCAGCCAGGGTGCTCACAGCTGTGAATCGCCACCCTTTTCCTGGAAGATGTCTTGCGGGTGCGCTTCCCCTCTTGGCCTGCAAGTGGCGCTAGCAGGGCAGGGTGAGAGGAGGGTGAGACGCCCGGGCCTTGCACTGGGGCCACGAACAGCCCAGGGTGGCTAATGGCACCTTTGTAAGCTACGGCTGCTGGATAAGGCGTGTAACCGCTTAGACACTGCTCAGGGTAAAAAGCGTGTTGGCTGTGGTGGTAGCCTGGCACAAAGCCATAGTGGCATTGCTGGGTCATGGGAGGGTCTATAATAGATGGCCTGTTTGGAAGAAAGTGGCTGTTGGAGAAGGCAGGGCCTGGGTAGTGTCCCAGATTGCATGCTTTCCCTTTCACTGAGCCTACACAGTCCATATCTTCATTTCTCTCCTGTTCACCTCCCAGACAGAAGGCAAAGTGCTCCACAGGTGAGGATTCGAAAGCATACAGCTTTGACTGGTAATCCCCCGTGTAAGTGATCTGGCTGTTCTGGAGCATGTCTGGGAAAGTGGAAAGAAGGGGCTGAGGGGAGAGGAGCTCTAACATCAGGCTGCTGTTGGCTTGGAGCTGCTGGTCCATATTGGGCTGCTGTTTCAATATAACCCCTTCCTCCTCCTTGACTTGGTACAATCCATTGTGTCCCTTCCTCTGCTCTGCCTGCAAGGGCTGATGGGAATTGCAGTTCATTGCTGGACCCAGATCAGAGCCTGGGCTGTTGATGCCAGACAAAAGGAACTCCACATCCCAGCTGGCACTGTTCTCGTCCTCCTTATCCTCCAGTTCATTTCTCAGTGCCTTCTGGGGCTCATAGCTAAACCCAGGATCGGAACCCATTTCCATTTTTGTGATGTCCAAAGCTGGGGTCAGTGTGTCATCCTCCATTTTCCATGTCTGAGACAAAGACAGTTGACAAAAATCAGAGAGAAATAAAGTCGCACAGAACATCTGTTTCTTCAGTATGTTGCATTGAAATAAAAAATAACTGACAAAATAGAACAAATAATTATTTATAAGAACTCCCTATTTGAAATATTTGATTATTTGTGCATTTAATTACCCCAATTGTTTCATTATTGCAATCACTCCCTTTCAAATGTATCTGCTAAAAAGAGATGGGAGTTGACATTACCTTTACAAATATGTCTCATTGACCTCCCTTCAGATAAGTGTGTAGCTGTCGCAGTATTTATAGTAAGTAACAGAGTAACACTGGACTGGGACAGTAATTCAGCTGAGGTCCCCTGATTCACAGAGGCAGGAATAAAAAGGAGGGGGCACACATAAGACCTGGGCTGGCTGAACTGGCAGCTGTGGGACGAGTTTGCACCCGTCTCTCTGCAAGCTCAACTCTCGCTTTTCACCGCTGAATTCAGACAGAGCACAGCCTCCTCAGCCGAGCTCTGGACTCTGACTTCCACACAGTGACACAGTGAATGGTTGTGTATACCGTACTGTTAAACAGCCAAACACTTTGTAGAGAAGCCTGTGTGCATTTTCAAATCCAGAGATTGCATGATATCAGTAAAGAAAAGCCATGTCTGATGCTGGCCTGCCTGATAAAGGCACTTCAGAGTCAGAGGTAGAAAGTTTATACAGTGGTGTGAAAAAGTAAGTACACCCCATGAAAAGGTTTGTCTTTTTTTACATTTTTGGACAAAAGGATATTTTATCGTAATTTCAACAATACTGATAGATAAATGTGATCTCATTTTAAAAAATAACATTGAAAAATCACATTTTGCACTCATTTGTACTATTTAAATCAACAGAAATGCAATTTCCTTTAAAAAAACTTAGTACACCCCTACTTTATCATTGCATCAAATGCCTAAAATTAGAATCAGGTGCACCAAAACAGGTGCAATTGATTAGAACATCATTCGAGAGTAACTTGGAGGGCACTGCCTTATATAAACATCAGAAACCTACTGTATGATCTGGTTTGGTCTTAGCAAATGAAGTGTGTGGCTACATCATGCCAAGATCAAGAGAGCTCTCTGAGGCCCTCGGAAGAAAGATTGTTGATGCCTATGAGTCTGGGAAGGGTTTTAAAACCATTTCCAAGTAATTTATAATCAATGACTCCGCTCTCCAAAAGATCATCTACAAATGAAGAAAATTTCAAACCACTGGCAATCTATCCAGGCCAGGTCGTCCCACCAAATTCAGCCCAAGAGCTGACCGAAAAATGCTGCAGGAAGTCTCCAAGAACCCCAGGATAACACCAAGGGATTTACCGGCAAGTCTTGCCTCAGTCAATGTCAAAGTGCATGAGTCAACCATCTGAAAGAGACTGCACAACTTTGCCCTACATGCGAGGTCAGGAAGGAAGAAGCTTTTGAATATAGATGCACATATAGATGCACAACTGAAGTTGGCCAGACAACATCTAAGTGAAGATCAGGGCTATTGAAACAATGTTCTCTGGACTGATGAGACAAAGGTAGAGCTGTTTGGCCACAAAGCCAGAAGTCATGTTTGGCAAAAACCAAAAACTGCCAAAAGAACTTCATACCAACTGTAAAGCATGGTGGTGGAAGCATTATGGTTTGGGGCTGCTTTTCTGCCACAGGGCCTGACCAGCTTGCCATCATGGAGCCAACCATGAATTCCACATTGTACAAGAGAGTACTTGAGGAGAATGTGGGGCCATCTGTCAAAAAGCTGAAGCTGAACTGTAAGTGGACCTTGCAACAAGACAATGACTCAAAACACTCAAACAAATCCACAAAAGAATGACTCAAAAAGAAGAAATGGTGAGTTATGGAATGGCCAAGTCAAAGCCCAGATCTTAAGTGCACTTGAAGTGGGCAGTACATGCAAGAAAGCCCTCAAACATCACACAGTTGAAGGAGTTCTGTAAGGAGGAGTGGGCAAAAATTAATCCAAGTCGATGTAGGAGACTGATAGACAATTACACGAAACGCCTACAAGAAGTGATTTCTGCCAAAGGGGGCAACACCAGCTATTGAAGCTAGGAGGTGTACTTATTTCTTCCACAGCAGACAATTGCATTTCCGACGTTGAATAAATGAATAATTTTCATTATTACCTGTTAAATTAGATCACCTTTATCTATCAGTATTGTTGAAACAAAGATCACATATCCATACATGCAAATATGTTGAAAAACACACCTTTTCAAGGGGGTGTACTTACTTTTTCACAGCTTTGTACAGTAAATCCAGCAACAATATCAACTCAAGATTTATATTTAAGAGACCACCATAATGGTGACGGTACTACCTGATCTGAGGATGTTACCATTTGCTGGCACAGTCTGTAAAACAAGAACAAGTCACAGAGAAATAGAAACTTACTTAATAAAACTTACTTTCCCATTTTCCGGGGAGTTACAAAAGTTGGAAAAAGAGCTGAACGACGGCAGGACAGCCTGAGTCAGAGTCATCTTGTCAGTTTTCATGGATGATATTAAATGCAAAGCAAACTGAAAATAACAAGTCTGACATTAAAGAAAAAAAAATACTCTCCTCTTGATCTCCTCTGCTAGATTCCTGAGCTTTGTCTCACGGCTGAAAAGTAAAACAGTGGAATTCAATAATAGTTACACACAGAAATTAGGAGACGTTTCACAACTTGTGTTCCATTTGGCCACTCATTCTCTCTTTCTCACATTCTTGCTCTGCTCTGAAGGTTTTACTCCTCTTTCTGCAAGGAGGGGGGGGGCTTGGCTCATGAATATTCAGTTGCTGTTTTTGCATGTTCCCCTCAACTGCTGCAAAGCACCAAGTTCCAGTGAATAAGCAAAAGGGGGGATCCTGCTATTTGTTACAGTATCAGCTCTCGAAGAGGGCGTCAGGTTTTCTTGTCTGAAGGCCGTGTGCTAACTGAGCTCAGAGCAGTGAAGTGGTCAACTGACCCCTCTTCAGTGAAACAGTAGAGTGGCTCACAAGTCCTCCTCTTCTAATAAAAAACGTTTAAAATAATTTCCAGTGTCTGAATTCAAACAACAGTGCCACTTTACTTTAAGTGACATATTTTGCCTGGAAGACTACTGAAAAGAATCAGTCCTTGTGCAAGGACTTGTATATCAGATGAATGGTTTGCAGTCTCCTGACTTTCTTTGTCCTTCTATTGCTTTCATAGAGTGTCCATTACGCCACCTGGTCTCTGGGATTCTTTGAGACAGGAAAGGATATTAAAAGTGTCTTCACTCAAAAGACATTTAAGGGTGGCGCGGTTGCTGAACTGGTAATGGTGCTTATTTGCATATCAATCTAGGTCACTATTTCTGTAACAGATCTTCCTAGCTAATTGCTGTTCAGTGGAATTGATTGTATTTGGAAAGCCAGTGTAAATGAGGGCAATACACATTTCATAAAAATTGAATTGTCACAATAGGTCATTGGTCATTAAACAAAGGTCAAGGGCAGAAGTATCAGGCTTAACCTTAAGATCGATGATCTTGTGCAACAATGTGAGCCAGATTCAAGGTGATTTGTCAGCTGCAGTGTTTTTTTCTTCATCCATCCTTTTTTTAACCTCTCAATCCAATACAGGGTTGGGGGAACCGGAGCCTTTACTGGCAAGAAATGGGCACAAGGGGGGGATTCACCCTGGACGAAACGCCAGTCTGTTACAGGGCATACATTGACACAAACACAGACACACACTCACTCACACCAGGAACAACAGTTTTCCCCAAAAGCCAATTGACCTACTGTACCAGTATGTCTTTGGAGTGAGGGAGGAAAGTGTTCCCTGTGTGTTAAGACAATTGCCTAGAAAAGCTGAGCACATTTAGCTAAAGACATTAACTGAATGTAGAAGGTACTTCTATTAGCTACTATGGTAAGTAGCTAATACAGATCAACAGATAGCGAAGCATTGCTGCTGCTCTGGCCTGTATTGTCTTGCAGTGCCATGCTGAGCTTTCAATAACATACCTTGTAGGCCAGAGCAGATGTGATTCAAAATGTTCTATGTACATTGTCAGTACATTACTTCTGTAGACAGGTGTTTTTCAACTTGGATTATAGTACTTTTCACAGCCAATGCGAGTTATTAAAGAACAAATGGAAACTAAGATGCATGTTATTTTTAACCATTTATTTCACATTGGGTGGCTGCTTGAAACTTTGTTTCAGTATAATTAGCTTTCATTTAGATAATTGAATTAATTTGAAATTAGATTTCAGTGGTGCATATCTGGAATTCCTTAGCAAGGCATCACTTAGTTTTAAATAAGTGGGATTTCCTAGAACACTGTGAGTCAGTGCGTGAACAAGCCACTCGCTTTGTTGCTTTGGTGGAATCCGAGTTAGAAATTTCAGCACAAGAGCAGCACATGGAAATCTGATTAATGCTTGAACCCTGGCTTGCAATAACAAGAGCCATTTCTGCATCATTAAAGTCATAGTCATTACAGTTGAAGTCAGACTCTTCTCTGTATCATTTTACTGCAAGAGCTTGGGGGAAAATGATGGAAAAAAGGAAATATCATACAGAAGACTTGGATAGATCATACTGATCACAAGCACAAATCAAGCAGCATCATGTTTGCTTAAGAAGATTCATTTGATTTCTTCCAAAATGTCAGAGAATGGCATAGAAGTAACTCTAAAACAGAAATCTTTTGGCATATCATGTGTGCCATGATCCTTTATTATAAAGTAGTAGCCGAGCCATACAAAGGTCAAGCTTCAGGACACTGCGGTCCTTGTGGCGGCTTGTGCTTTGTGCTTAGAATCTGGTAACCTGGGTGTTTAGCATCCAGCAGGTCCTGATGCAGACGATCAAGTGCATGGTGGTTATGAACATCATGGGTGATGCAGTGGTTGTATTCCTGCACTTCAGATAGAAGTTGCCCTGATAGTAGAATTTTGTTTTGTAATCATATCATTGAATAAGAACATTATTGGTAGCAGAAAAAAACACCACAGGACAGCACGGAAGAGTTAGTCATTTGCAGAGCTGGTTCTGAAAATGTGTTGGCAATGGAGGTTTCTTAAATTACAGTTTGAACCACTCAGTGCTGTAATCATTTTAATGTTTTTTTTGAAGGGGTGGTTTATATAAGACATTACAGCAGTAAGAGATACTGACAATATGAAAAAAACATCCATAAATTTGGCACAGAGTTATCTTCCACTTATAAACAGGAGTGACTCAGATGTGGGAGTGATTCGTGTATTTGTATCTAAGAAAACAGGCTTTGTGCACTTAATAATGCGTGTGTGTAATCAGTATTCATTCTAAATGGTTTTCTTCAAAACGAATGTTCTTTTGTTAAACACACAAATGAAACTTTAAAAAGTGCATTTACAATAAATGGCCATAGAATGACATGCTAGCTCAGTCAGATCAGTAATGCTCCTCAGATTTCTTGTAGTGTAAATAAGGTAAAAGCACAGTGAGATGTGGTCATCATCATGGAGGCACAGTGAAGCACATGTACTGTATATGCATTGGATACGCACTTTAAAACCCAAGGTAGTGCTGTAAGACCACCACAACTTCTTCCCTAGGACAATGCCTTCTCTGAGTGCTGTGCAAGGCAATCAGTAGAAAATCAGAGGGCTGCTTTTGAACCTGCCAGTTTTACATTTACATTTATTCATTTGGTAGATGCTTTTATCCAAATGGAGTTACGATAAAAAAAATACATCCAGTCAACGCGCAAAAGATGCATACTGTATATCCATATGCAGTTTCTCTGAATACTTATTTTGAACATGCTAAGTCTACATTATAAATTGATCAAACATCTTCTACGATGAGGCCGGTTGCTGTGAAAAGCTATAGGAAATGCATCTTCTCTGGTTGAATTTCTGTGTTCACCTGGATCCACATACATTTTCGTTATGTTTTTACCATAAAATGAAACTTTTATAGTAGATGCAATTGATGTGGTTGTGACAAACACTGCAAACTAAACTGCAGGGTTTGTGCAAGACTTAAACTCCATTACCATCCTGGTTAAAAGCTGAAGAACTGTGGCCTGCAGATCATTTAGGAGCAGTAAGTTAAACCCCATTTCATGTGGTGTTCTCGTTGACAGCTAGACTTTTTTTTTCTTGAATAGGGAAAAAAATTCTGTTCACTCTTTTACTCACTCCGCTAAAAAAAACAACAAACCTTTCTGCCTTTTTTTCTTTCGTTTTGTTGGAAGAGCGGTTTCCTGGAAGACCTGTGCTGTCAAGGGAGATTAAAACCGGGGCTGTTTATCTGCCATTCGGGAGCGATCAGCCGCTGACTGTCCTGGAGGTGATAACAGGGGCTTCGCTATTGGCATCTCCAGATGGGACTTTATTAAAAAAAAACAGATAAGTCCGCCAATTTTCCGCTGCTTTAAAGGCTTCTCGAAAAATGTTGTCATGCTTGTGAATGTATCAGAGAGTTTTTTTCTTAATTCCATTTAGATCCAACATCACAAAGGTTGCTGCAGAATAGAGTTCGATATCTCCCTTTCCCCTTGTTTCTTTTATTTGCTCCTCGTTGTGTTCACAGGGATGTGTTTAATAGTTATTGGTGTTACTTTTCTGCCGTTGTCGTTTAATGCTTCTTTACAGTTTTGGCACCCAAAAGGCAAACGAGCTGTTTTTGCTCTGTTTAAAAATGCTTTTAATCAGTCTGACATTAGTAAAATATAATTTATTGTATTGGGATAAATACAGAACTTCCTGTCCAAAATGTAATAATGGAGTGCACTTGTTCAGAGGTTCTGAAGTGTTCCTGCTCGGTGTGAGATAAATCAAAGAGTGAACAGTTTCCCACTGTTTTTTGCAGGTACATGATGAGATGACCTCTTTTAGTACAAAAGGCAGTTGTGGTCTATTCACTGATAAGGAATGACTTGTGTTCCTAGCAGCTTTGACTTTAATGGCTGAAATGTCTGCTACCTCAGCGGATTTGGTTCTAGGCTCTTTCCCATTCTGATGCTCGGTCTCAGGAAAGGCAGTACCTCACCGGCTCTGTTCTCTAGCCCATCTGAAAGGCCATTGGTTTCTGACACCAATTGCCTGCAGTAAAGGGAGATGTATTTATCTTGTGCCACAGGGCTTTTTGCAGAAATCCCTCAGGAGCATGCACGGACTGACCTTGGAAATCATCCAGAATGAGAGTGCACACACACAGACTATAAAACTTAAAGCATTGGTAAGGCTACTCACATGCTTTCTTGAGTTTAGCCTAGTACAGTTCCTCAGTTAGTTTCACATTAAGCTTAGATAAGCAGATCAGAATACGGGGGGAGGTGTATAGCCATTCTTTGTAGATTCCTTACCTACATACAGTATTAGCGCTTTTATTTTCCCACACATGGCAAGCAGCTGGGTTTGGAAGTGGGGTGTGTGAGAGAAGCATCTGGACCCACAAAGTTGGAAAATGCTGCAACCCTGTGTCCTCTGCCGTCTGCGGCGAGCTTGCCGACTCGCTGTGGTCTGTGGCATCGGTCTTGGCTGCCATCCTGAATCGGCAGATGCCCGCACGCGCCTGAAGGGCAAAACGTCTGCCCTGCCAGTACAGAAGGGCTCTCAGACAAGAAGAAATGGCTTCCTACACCTGTTGAATCAACTGGCCAGAGAAGATCTTGCTCCCATGGTTGTATTGTTCCTGCCACCTTACCATGAAATAATTCAATTAATTGATTTATTGACAATAATGAACTCTTTTTACGAGACGTATTCTCAGATATGCAGACACAGACCAATGGGAAATTTTAATTGGACATATCACATTGAGAAGGTATTCTACCAGTACAATACCTTCTGAAAAGGCTTCTGGGAGTGAATTAACCGGTAGAGACCCCTGTCTGGAGCCCGGTGGTCTGTGCAGTGTCATTAGCCGACGTTGTGCGATGGTGTCCAATTAATGGGGCATGCCAGCAATGGTTGGGCCCAATTTGGACAGGGTGTCCACTGAGGCTCACCAGCCACCTGTGAAACCTTTGTGTTACTGGAGAGAACGGTGGGACTCCTGCAGCATGTGGTACTGTAGCTCTGTTTTGAGTACTGTGAGAAATGGGGGATATTAGGCTGTGCTCATTTCAGGGGAAAGGCCCCGCTGAGCTCGTCTTTTCTGTCATGGTGTAGAGGTGATGGAAGTGGAGCTGAGTTGGCGATACCAAAATAAGGGAGGAGGGGGAATATAGCAAGAAAAAAAGATTATTATCCTTTATTATAAAGCCTTTTTGAAACTATTTCCCAAAAAAATGCACCAGCCAAACGAGCCAAATGAGTGATGCATCATGCAGCTGGCTGATTTGTTGTACCCTCATGTCTCTTCTCATTGAAATGAAATAAGGAAACTGGAAATGTTTGTGCTGGAAGAGCAAATCTGCAGATTTTAGTTGGTGTGGAAACAGCAAAACGGAAAATTACACTGGAAGTACAAAACACTTATGAAGCTTGTACGAGACGCAATAAGAAAAAAATGCTGACACTGAGGTATGATCTGTTACTGATTGAAAAAATAGATTATTCTCTTTTCTCATGTAGAGATTATTCTGTTTTTCCCCAGAAATTATAATTAAGAAAATTTGGTCGGTTGGTCGGTCACGAACAGAACAGCATACAGCCGTGTTGTTGCCAATGACATGCTTTGTCTGTGGGATAGGAGAGTAAAAGGACAGTAATTTATAGGGATTCAATTCATGAAAACAAAAAAATACAATAAATTACACAATTGCAATTTACTATACAATTTACAGATTGTGCAAAAGTAACACAAGGATAGGAGGTATTTACTGCTCTTCGTATGTGACAGGAGGGAGCCGCTGCACCTGTCAGTTCAAGGAGGTCATTGCAGGCGTCTGCTGTGGTTGGCTGTTTAGCAGTCTAACTGCCTGGGGGAAGAAGCTGGTAGTCTTGGTCTGTATACTTGTTCCTAAACTCAAGTAGATAATAGGCAAATCAGCACAAACTAGCATGCGTGTGCCTCTGCCCACTCTGTTTCTCTACAGTGAGTGGAGTGTGCAGCTCAGGCATTGCTAGATCCCGTCCTGTAGAAGAAGTCCGCTCAGTGTCGGCTGTGTCCAAAGTGTCCAAGCCCAGCAATGTGTTTCCTGTACAAAAGAGGAAGTGGAAGGGCAGGGCTGGGTGGGAGAGCTGATAATTTGGGCTTAACCCTTCTTCCTGACATGAACCAATCATGCTCTGACTGAGTGACCCCAGCATCATTCATGCTGGCCTGTAGTACACTCGTGCACCCCAAGTGATTCATCGCCGTCATCATCATCATCATCATCGTCGTCGTCGTGATGACATTCCTCTGTTGTTGTTTTTTTGGCCTTTAACTTGGCACATCTCCATTTACTCAACCCAACAGTATCTCTGAATATTTTACTGCAGCTTTTTTTCCCAAGCTTTTTGCTGGGTCTGGCCAAATCGCAATAGTGGCATGCCACCCGCCTGATTCCTCCAGCGGTTCCAATCCATGCTGGAGTTTCAGAAATGTGGACCCCATCAGAAACATACCATACTAAACCAAGGGGGTCTGTGTTCCATTGGGTTCTTGCTACCATTCTTCTAAGTGCCTTACTAAGTAGAGAAAAAATAAGGAAACTCTATGTGCAGTTATTACATAGCTCTGGAGGCTGACAGCATTCCCCACCTCAACACTGTGCATGCGAAATGTTCTAATTCACGTTGCAGTTGAAAAAAATAAAGTGGAAACCAAACATCTTATGTTATACAACCATAATTCAGGTTGTACTCTGAGACTGAAAGGAATGAAAACTAGAGCCGGTACAGTCCATCAGAGCACAGTGAGACTGAGAGGAGTGTCAGAGATCTGTTATTTTCCATCGGTTTTAACCTAGAGTCCATCAGATGCAGCCTTCAGCAGGCTAACCAAAGGAAACACTGTGGCCCCTGCTCTGCGTTGAGAAAACTGCAGCAAGTTAACCAGCACTCGGTATCATATCATCACCTTGACCCCTTTTAATACAATGTGGACAGAAATGCAATAAAATCTACTGTTATTTTTAGGAGGTCTAGTCTCTATTAAGAAAGGTTTTGAGCACTGCATAGTGAGATCTAACATAAAGCATGTTTAGTATGCTAAAACGCTATTTTGTGCGCAGTTACACCAGACTTACAGAGATGTCCAGTTAGTGCAAGAGCAGGACGTACTGTACTATATGTAAAACTGCGCACATCAGCACGATAACCGCAAAGTGAATTACTCATGTTACCACTCTCAAGCATTAGAAAAATAGGGTGCAATAGAAAACTGAACTTCGGAAACACCTGTAAGGGGTAACATTTATTTTCAAGTAAAATAACTAATAAAACATGATATACACGTGAAAACTCCATATTATAATCCGTATTTTGTGTTACAGACATTTAGTTGTTTTAAGACACAGCAAGATATCCCGTAACACAAAGAATAATGCGAAAATTGAAGGTTTCACTGAAATAAAACAGTAATGTGGCGATTGTGTGGAGCAGTCTGAAGAGTTTTTAGAAAGTATTTTTTTAACATAATGTATAACCTAGTGAATATAATTTCACCGTATACCGTACACAGTACTGTACACAGTACAGTATACAGTAGATAGCGGGGGAACATAAATTGGATGATCTGTTGTGCTGTTTAATTGTTTTTTCCTAACTTATCGTGAAATCCTTTTGCAAAACAATACAATCGGAAAGAAAATACAGTCTATTGGCAGTATCGGCTTGAAAATGCAAAGGTTTTTATTTACTCATAAGTGCACATTAGCCTGTAATTTACAGATACATTTACGGTAGCCACAGTTTAACGTTTGCGTAGCCATCATTTCTATCCCTCTCATTTTATTAAACTGTTTTGTTGAAAGTATTACAGTAAAACTGCTTGGTTGACGTCGTTCTTCACCATCTACAGATGCGGCGGCGGCGGTGTTACCTGACTGGTTGCTAAGAAACAGCATTTATCTCCTTAACCACCAGGACACACTGACCTGCGGAGCGGTAAAAACACGCGATTTCACCAGTTTTCAACCCGGGGACTTACAATACCGTTCGCGATTTAACTACAGTACCTGGGGAAGGCAGTTTTAAACGGCGAATTAATTTCGCCCACATTCTTCTCGAAACTTAAACTGTAACTGCACAGACACAGGTTGCACCGGTAAATAAACTGCGTTTCCTTCGGTTTCACATTTGGTTTTGCGAATGCCGAGTTAGTTTTAAATGCAATGGTTTTGTGTCGAGATACGATTCTGAAAAAAAGTAATATCTACTGTATATCTGAAATAAGAATGTTATTAGTTTGGTAAATCACATTAGCTTAAAGGTCAGGTTACAGATAGTGACGAGTGAAACATTATAACAAGATTAATGCGTTCACATCAACATATAACTATAAAATATATAAGTTTGACATTAAGTAATATAAGGTACACAAAGTATTTAATGTAATTCGGACAATGCGACCTTTTGACCTCTAGCACAGACACAATCTCACTGTACACAACCGTTTATAAAAATACAAGCTCAATAAAGACAACAGCAGAATACGGATCTGTGCACATAACTATTGCATGAGCTATATATAAAGACTTTTTAGCTAAATTTCTCTAAGATTTATTTGACATTTTAATGGGAGGCCATGACTTATGAGTCTGCTTCTGTTTCCCAGATGCAAATACTTTAGAAATGGCTAAATCATATTAAAATATATGGGGATTCTGATAAAAGCATTTAATTTTATAGTTGGTACAGTAGGTGCATTTGAATCATTGGTTTGTCACTGCTCAGACCATAAAGGTGCTCAACTTTCAGTCAGTAGGTCCTGTCTGTAATGATTAAATCTTTATCACTCATTCATATATGCTACATTTGAATTGACAGCTAAAGAATGTGTTCATTTGACTAAATACTCTGGACACGCTAATGTAGAAGTCTTAGACCTACTGATGAAAACAGTAGTCATCCTTGACTTTGGCTGTGGTGTTGCACCAGGGTCTAACTGTACAGTATTTTGAATTCACCTTTTGACCTTTTTTTTTATTAGGGAACCACTAAGAAGCAGACGCTATGCAGCAAGCAGTGGCCAGACCCCAGCGCCCCCAGCCAAGTGACGTAGAGTCGGCTCGGGGTGTGAACCGGCTGTGGGGGTACCTGCAGGAGACTGGACTGCAGAGTGGCATGGAGGCCCTGTGTGCGGAGGTGCTGCGCCGGCCCCAGCCTCCCTTCAACCCCTACCCTGTGTTCATGCAGTGGGCTCGGTGGCAGGCAGAGAGGTGAGTTAGGTCTTGGAGTCTCCGCTTGTCTGTAGGCCGGCTACTTTTAAGACAGGAGCTTTGTTATGCAGGCAGCTTTGTGAAAATCGTGACTAGTGGGACAGTGAAATTAAGTGAAAAGAAATATAATCAGTGGGGAACAAACCATAGATCAAGAGTACCTGGCAGGTACATTCCTAGGCATTCCCAACCCTTTTTAAAGAACTCTTCTGCCATGACAGGTTGAAGCAACATAATCTCTTTAGTCTTGAGCAGAGACTACTATGGGTGTGGAAAGGGGGACCTGATTTAAGTATTCAAAATCTTCAAAGCTATTGACTGAAACAACCCAGCGAGCTTCTTTCAAAGAAGTGAACTAGAGTGGCAACTACATTTGAAATACATTTAAGGTTGAGAACATCTTAACATAAAGGGCTGTGGGAGTCAGGAACAAGTTCCCAGTCCTGTTGTTGATGCTTTTCAGGTGAAAATTTTGAAAAGTAACAAGCTACATGGGCCAAATGACCTCCTCTTGCTCGTCAGCTTTATATTCTTATGGTGCTACATTGGCTAAGTGTGACCACCATGTTCATGTCCACAGCCGTCATGATGGTATGGCGATTAAGATCCAAGGAAGGACACGTGAAGCTATTTGGTGTTTACTGTCTGGATGTCACAGCTCTGCAGTACCCTGTTTTCACCATACTGTACATATATCTGAATAGGCCAGCAGACTTTACAAGCAATCTGCATTGTAGCTCCCAGAGCAGTCCTGGTACTGGTGACCCCCCCCCACACACACACACACCATCCCACGTTCATTAGATAACTGAAGCCTCACTAGATTGAAGACGTTGCTTCTTAAATTGAGTATTTCCACTTTGTTTCTTGTCACAAGTTTGGAACTTTATTTCACATATACAGTACAGTAAAATACAATAGCTAAAGCTCTAATGTGTTTAAAAGCTGGGAACAAACAGTTCAGATTAATCTTAAGTCGAAGAAGGGTTTGATCAGGTAACTGAGGGCTCTCCTGGAACAAAAGCCAGCAGGTGTGTGGGTCACAATTCTGCACTTTTTTAGTTTTTAAAACTTTATCTAAACTCATTTCCGATTAATTCAAGATTTAAAACACACAACTTGCTTGGAGCTTTTAACATCTTGGAAAGTGAAACTCTGCATTCCACATTCCACATTCCACATTCCACATTTTAAATTACTCTAAAATGAAGTATTGGAAAGGTTCACCATACTGTCCCAGTATTGTCAGATCTATCTGATCCCCTGTGTCTGTCCAGCTCACTATTACTTCTATTGATTTTTACTGGACAACTCCTCAACGCTTTTAAGTGTACATGTTTCCTTTCTCTTTCTTTCCAAATTAACAGCTGGATATTCAAAATTAAGTGGTTTTAAAATGCAAAATACAACAAGTTTATCTCTGGAACTGTGGCAGGTGTCTTGTATTAACTCCAGGATCAGGCTGTCTCAGTCAGACACGGAGAAGAAATTCAGGGAAGATGTCACCTTTCCCACAACCCTCACTGCTGTTCGATATATTGCAGGTCAGTTGTGTGGGCCACACCGGTTTACTTTTCTTACTCATGGAGGTTTTAAAGCAACCTCAACAAGATACTCATTTTGGAGAGCAGAGGGTTTTGCTGATACAGTGCATTTTGTTCAGCAGAATCTCTGCTCACTGTTCATAATATTCATCCTTCACAAATCGCTCCTGACACTAATGTATATCTCTAGACTAGATTTTTCTGTCAAACATTTGTATTCCAGGGTGCATTAGGATGACAGATAAAATATAATAATTCCCAGACAGTGTTTTGTTGCTAAAATGCAACGTTGCACAACAGCATCCTAACATTAAACGTAATGTGCCATTGTGCAACAAAATCCTGTTCCTGCCTTCTTTTTATCCTTTTCAGCCACACTCATCTCATGACGTGAAAGACTGGCAGGCTGTTGATGCTTTCTGGTTGCCCTTATAGTTTGGGTGATTCAGACACAGGAAGTGCAGATCTTTAGCTGTGGTTTTATCTGTGCTCTGGGAGGACACAACACAACAAAGTAACCTGATGTTTTAAATGCAGTTCCTTGACTTGTCATGCCTTCTAAAGAGTACAGTACAGTAGTTGCATCTCTCTTTTATTCTCTGAATGGTCATTCCTCAGGGGCTAAAGGCTGCTCCCATGTCTGGGGACTTCCCAGCATCCTCCGCTGTGTTGACCCAGAGAAAAGCAAGCACTTTAATTGGCTGATTGATGATGTGACCCCTTCGCTTTCAACCCTGAGTCACAGCAGCCCATACACAGTGAGTCTGTTGTTGTTTTGCTCTTTCTAATTAAGATTAAGGCTATTCATCTTGTTTTTTCACAAGAGCAAGCCTAATGTTCACTTTCCCATGAGGGCACAAAGCAAGCTATTACCTTCAGTCTAACAGCGCCACATTCTCCATTTCAGATCCAGGTGCTGGCTGCTCTCACAGGCCTCTGTGTCTTTACTGGTACGCTCTTCCCCCGTCCCTTCTCATTGGACATCCTCCAGATTTATGTAATTGCCGGCCCAGATGCCCAGCGCGCCCGTGTCCTCTACGCGAGCTGTGTCCGCCGAGATGTCATCAGGACAAGCCAGAATGGCCGCCATCGTCTGCTCAGGTCAGAGGTCATCCTGCTGAGAAAAGTGGTGGGCAAAGTGACTGTATCACCCTTTCACTTTTCCACTTCTGCCTGCTTCCCATTCGCTTTTCAGGAAGAGGTGATGGGGAGGGGCCAGCTAGGAAATATTTTAAGGATGTATCCGCAACCTCTGTCCTCTCCTTGTTGGCACTGATGCTAAGAAAAAAAAAATTCAGATCCT